ATAATTTTGTCCTTCTTTATGGCTGCGTAATATTCCATCATGTATATGTGCCACATTAGTTTTTTCCAGTCCTCTTTCGATAGGCAGCATGGTTGGTTCCATGTTTTTGCTATTGTAAATAATGCTACAATAAGCATGCATGTGCAGGTATCTTTTTCATAGAGTGATTTGAGTTCCTCTGTGTATATTCCCAGTAGGAGGATTATCGTATGGAAGGTCGATTTTTAGATCTTTTAGGAATTGCAAACTGTTTCCCACAGAGGCTGTATTAGTTTACACTCCCACCAGCAGTGTAGAAGTGTTCCCTTTTTGCCGCGTCCTGTCAGGCATCTGTTGTTTTTTGAGTTATTGATGATGGCCATCCTGACTGGAGTTAGATGGTATCTCCGTATAGTTTTAATTTGCATTTCTTTGATGATTAGTGAGGCTGAGCATTTTTTCATGTTTCTGTTGGCTGCTCGTGTGTCTTCTTTTGAGAAGTGTCTATTCATATCTTTTGCCCACTTTGTAATGGGGCTGTTTGTTTTTTCTTTTCGACATGTTTGAGTTCCTTGTAGATCCTAGATGTTACGCCTTTGTCAGATATACAGTTGGCAGACATTTTTTCCTAGTCTGTGGGCTGTCTCCCTGTTCTCTTGATTGTTTCTTTGGCTTTGCAGAAGCTTGTCAGTTTGATGATGTCCCACTGAATCAACATTTCTACAAAGAATATTTATGAATAATCAATAAGCACACGAAAAGATGCTGAACATCACTAATCACTGGGGAAATGCAAACCAATACCACAATGAGATACTACCCTATGGGTGTTAGGATGGCTACTATCAGAAAACCAGAAAATAACATGTTGGTGAGGATATGGAGAAATTAGAACCCTTTGCACTGTTGGTGGGGATATACTAGTTAATAGGCATTGTGCTAGGTTCTGGGAGTAAAGATGATTAAGGCACACCCACAGTGAACACAGTATAGTCCCCAAGAAGCTCACAGCCACCTAAGAAAGACAGATTTGGAAAATAAGTATACTATAGTGTGAGAAGAGGTAAAGAGGAGAAATAGATTAATTCTGTGAGAGTCAGGGGTAATTTCACAGGAGAAGTGATGCTTGAGCTGAGTTTTATGGAATATCTAGTTTCCAATCCAACAAAGCATGAAGATGAGCATTTTAGGAAGTAACATATGAAAATATGTGGGGTCCCATAAGTTGGAGCCTATAATCTGAGGGGTTTGTGGCAGCAGAAAAAGCTGGAATGGTTCACAGAGGTAGTCCTTGAAAGAGGTTTGTTTTTTATATAGTAGAGAGAAGTTGAAGAGGTTTAAACAAACTTGTGTTTTACAGAAAATTCTGACTTTGGTGTGAAGAATAGATTGGTAAGAATAAAATGGAGGCAGGGTGAGCCATGGTAATAGTCCAGGTGAGTGAGAATGAAGGCCTGAATTAGTTTAGTGGTGGAGTTAAAGAAGAGAGGATAGACCCGAGCATAAACTGAGGAGTAAAAGCCATATAGTTTGATGATTTCACAAAGCAGGTCAGGGAGAGGAAGCAAATGGGTGTGACTTACAGATACTGATTTTGTGAACCCTGTGACCTGTGGTTCTGTTAGCTAAGATCGGGAAGACTGTCCAAGAGGAGGTTTTGGATGGTTGAGAGAGAAGGGGGCAGGAGGGTAGAAAGAACCAAGATCAGCTTTAGGTTTGTTCTGAGGCAGATTCTTTGAGATAAGCCTGTAGAGGTCAGCTATAACCCTGTTCCTTAAAATTGCCCTTTGGGGCTGGGCTTGGTGGCTCAGTCTGTAACCCCAGCACTTTGGAAGGCTGAGGTGAGTGGATTGCCGGAGCCTGCGGGTTCGAGACCAGCCCAGACAACTTGGTGAGACCTCATCTCTACAATAAATCAGAAATTAGCTGGGCCGTGGTAGCACATGCCTATAGTTTCAACTTCTTGGAAGGCTTGGGCAGAAGGATTGCCAGAGCCCAGCAAGTCAACACTAGGGTGGGGGTGAGTGCCACTGTACTCCAGCCTGGGTGACAGAGTGACACTCCAATTAAAAAAAAAAATTGTCCTTTGGTACCAGTAACGGGGATAGACTGATGAGCTGGGTTTTAGGTCTATTTGGAGTATTTAAGATGATTCAGAAGAAAGCAACAACACTTGTAAGTTAAGATCTTGGTATAACTGCAGTTTCTAATTTAGGAGAGAAGCCTGGAAATAAATTTAATTGTTATTTTCTGTGTGTTTATGTGTTATCCATAATTTAAAAATTGCTGTTGGCTGGGCATGGTGGCTCACACCCGCAATCCCATCACTTTGAGAGACCAAGGTGAGAGGATTGCCTGACAGGAGTTTGACACTAGCCTAGACATCATAACAAGACATCATCTCTACAAAAAAATAAAAAAGTTAGCCGGGCATGGTGGTCTGCACCTGTAGTCCATACTACTCAGGAGGCTGACACAGAAAGATCTCCTGAGCTCAGGAGGTTAAAGCTGCAGTGAGCTGTGATTGTGCCACTGCACTCTAGCCTGGTGACAGAGTGAGACTATAACTTAAAAAAAAAATTGCTCTCAGGTATTTCCTTTTGACAAATATATATATATGAAGGTTTTACATTTTTAAATGTTTATTTTTATGCAAATTGTTGACAGAATCTGCATCTGTTTCAGTAGTGGTTTTTAATAATCAGAAAACTATGGTATATTTCTTTAATAGTTTCTAAATTTGAGCTGTATTCATTGAATGTTAGTGGATTGATGTTTCCTTTTTTAATGGAAGGTGAACCACAAAATAGGGTTAAAAATTGTAACAGAAAAAAATCCAAATTGGAGGTTAAGAAGATCTTCACTCTAAGACTCTGAAGTATACATATGTGTGTTACTACAGAGATTAGTTTTATATATACATGCATATATATCTGTTTTTGTTTTATTTTTGTAAAATGCTTATTTCTCTGGGATGTTTAAATGTAATGCTACGGAGAGGCACAAGGTTGAATTTTAAACCTATCATGTGGTTGTTTGTTCTTTATTTTCAAGACTGATAGGTGACAAAAATTCCTAACCTGATTCAGCTAGAAGTATTAGTAAGGTAGAGATTTTCCTAAGATGTACTTTCCTACCTTTTTAGGAACGGTTTTTAAAGGGTTGTAGATTCTTCCACGAGTGATTTTTACCTTTAATATCTGTTTGAGAAAATAAGTGGTGACAACTACTTTGACTTCTCTGTGAATGCTTTATTTTAAATGTATTTAATCACAACAGGGTTTATCTGTTCAAAGATATCAGTGTTATCTTTGAAAAGTAGTTCAGATAATCTTGGGTGCCATATAGTTTTTCAAACTCCTTGCAAAAACTAGGGAGTCCACCAGGGACTGGCATTATGGATTGGGAACCACTACTCTGGAGGAAGTCTTAGAATATGCTCACTTGTTAGTATCAAAATTTGGGTTGCAATATTGGAATGAAGACTATACTCTTATACATAATACCCTGTTCTATCTGCATCTGGTAAGGTTTTGAGACTTCTTTTCATACTTTTGGTATGACCGTATATATTACCTTGTTGTGCAGTTCAGGCATTTTTTTCCTTTATAAAGTGGTTTCTTACATTTTTTAAAAAATGAAACAATAGGGTCTTTCCTGCCCTTTCGTCTCTTCAGAACTATGCTTGTTACAGGAGGTGAGACAAATCTATTCAGTTAATCTGAAATAGTTCCAGAATTTGGAATATATAGAATTTTGTTCTATGCTTCATTTTTGTCTTTTAATGCTGTTCCTTAATACTTTTTTTCTGTTCTTGAATATACAGAAGTGTGTATGCTCACCACTTAGTGATAAGCAATGTTAACATGTTAATATATTTCTTCCCTTTAAATTAAGCTAATTGAGATCACACTGTTTGGTATTTTTAAAAAATCATGCAACTAATGTTAGTGTGATATTTATGCCATTAAAAAGTATTTGTAGACTGGGCTTGGTGGCTTAGCCTATAATCCCAGCACTTTGGGAGGCTGAGGCGAGTGGATTGCTTGCGATTGTGGGTTTGAGACCAGCCTGGGCAACTTGGCGAGACCTCATCTCTACAATAAATCAAACATTAACTGGATGTGGTAGTGCGCACCTGTAGTTCCAGCTACTTGGAAAGCTGAGGCAGAAGGATTGCTGGAGCCCAGCAGGTTGACACTGGGATGGCTGTGAGTGTGCCATGGCGCTCCAGCCTGGGTGACTGAGTGAGACTCCAACTCAAAAAAAAAAAAGTATTTGTAACCAGTCATGGTGGCTCACACTTGTAATCTCATCACTTTGGGAGGCTGACGTGGGAGGACTGCTTCAGCCCAGGGGTTTAAGACTAGCCTAGGCAACATAGCGAGACCTTGTCTCTACAAAAAAAAATGTGAGCTGGGCATGGTGGCAACACACTTAAAGTCCTAGCTACTTGGGAGACTGAGGTGGATGGGTTGCCTGAACCCAGGAGGTCAAGGCTGCAGTGAGCCATGATCATGCCGTTGTATTCCAACCTAGGCAACAGAGTGAGACCCTGACTCAAGAAAAAAATTTTTTTAAATGGAAAAAACAAAAATAGTTGGCTTAGCATTATGGCTAATAAATTAGGAGAACTGAAGAATCAATGATATTACTTTTGGTTCATTATTATATGTATGATAAAATATATTGATCTAGCTTTATCATTTGTTTTTGTAGTTAATTGCTTTTAATTAATGGTGATGGTCTCCCTCTCTTACCCAGACTGGAGTGCAGATATGACTGTAGCTCACTGTAATCTTGAACTTCTGGCTTCAAGCGATCCTCCTGTCTTGGCCTCTCAAAGGACTGGGATTACAAAAGAGAGCTACTGCACCTGGCCAGTTTCTAGTTATTTTGTTGGCTCCATCTTATGTTTCCTTGTCTCAAATTAATCTGTGTTCCTGGTGTATTATTATAGTTTTAAGTTTTGTTTTCCTTTCAAAAATACTCATAATTCAGATTTAAATGCTAATGTTTAGGATAAAGATGGTGATAGAGCAGTTCACCATGCAGCTTTTGGAGATGAAGGCGCAGTTATAGAAGTACTACACCGGGGCAGCGCAGATCTGAATGCTCGCAACAAGCGCCGACAGACACCGCTTCATATTGCTGTCAATAAAGGTCATCTTCAGGTTGTGAAGACTTTATTGGATTTTGGCTGTCATCCCAGTCTCCAGGTAAAACCTTTAAAGAAATGTGTTCAGCAGGTATTGTTAGAGGCACTAAGTTCTATGTTAAACATTCCTCTGTTATCAATTCCTGTTGATATAGTCATGGTAAATGATACCAAGGGTATAAGATGTTTTAAAATTGTCAGGTATTCCTTCTTCAAAAAGTTTTTAAAGAAAATGTCAATAGCTTGGGTTTAAATTGGAGAGGAGAAGTGGGGACTTCCTTCCAAAATTATCAGTTTATGAATTGATTTAACTTTGTTAATTATGAAAATGAACTTTAGCACCTTAAAGAAGTAAAATAGGCTATATTTCATAAGTTACTGCATAACTAGCTAGATTATGTGAATTGTAGCTTAATTTACCTTACATTCCTGGAATAGTCATTGTCTAGTCTTGGGAAATTTTCTGTTTTGGAAAATGTTAGGATTTTAGAGTTGATGTACAGTAGGACCTAATTTTTGAAGCAAGGGTTGCTTAAGAAATGATTCTTCCCTGGCACAGTTTTAGCAACAGGTGAATTAAAGCACCTGTATAAAGGAAATGTAGTCTGTGTCCATTATCTACTCAGTTGAGTTACTAAGCAACCTGTTTTTTGTGTACCTATCAGATTAAAATTTGGTAAGAATACTTAATAATTTAATAGCAAAATAAAATAGGACATGAACACAACTTGTCAACTTATAGGTTCCTTAACAGAATAAGTTTGAAATAGCATATTATTATTATTATTTTTTGAGTTGGAGTCTCACTCTGTCACCAGGCTGGAGTACAGTGGCACACTCACAGCCACCCCAGCATCACCCTGCTGGGCTCAGGTGATCCTTCCTCCTCAGCCTTCCAAGTAACTGGAACTACAGGTGTGTGCTACCACCCCTGGCTAATTTTTTGATTTATTGTAGAGATGAGGTCTCACCAAGTTGCCCAGGCTGTTCTCGAACCCGTAGGCTCAGGCAATCCCCTCACCTCAGCCTCCCAAAGTGCTGGGATTACAAGCTTGACCCACCGTGCTTGACTGCCTATTATTTTTAAGTAAAAGTGGTCCCTAAAACACTATTTTAATGTGCAAAACTATATTTTGTTTAAATTGGACACTCAACATGATTTTTTTAAAAGAAGAGGGAGGGGTTAGAATCTTAAGCTGTTTGTAGTTTAGAAAATCCACAGAACCCCAGGAATTGATTGCTGAATTAAATAGATCTCGGAGAAGTACAGGAGTAGTGGGAGAGGGTACTTGAGAATAACTGAAAGAAGAGGAGATATTGTTCAGCTAAATGGTTATTAGAAACTAATGTGTCTGAAGTGCCAGCATTTTGGAACTGATAGGGCCTAGGGTGTGACCCATAAATGGAAGGCAGGATTGGAGGATGAGAGAGGAATTAGAGGCTGTTAATCTGTTGAAGGAGAGGGAATTTATATCTACTGACCTTTTTTGTCTGAAGTGGGAGACAGAGTCATCTGATGAAAGTGTGAGTTGGAGGTGGAGGGTAGAGAGAGTAAATGAGAAGAACGATAAAGGTTTGGAATAGCTACTGTGGGGACCAGCAGGCAGACAGGTCGGGCAGGGATGGTGGAAGGGTATTCTAAGCCCATCCTAAACTGAACACTACACATTTTTAGTTCTACCAGATATAGGAGGATAGAAGGTGGATGTTTGGGTTGAACTTGGGTTAGGAATTTTTTTGTGAGTGGATGAATATATATCTGGGATAGACAAACATTTTCTGTAAAAGGCGCAGATAATAGTTTAGACTTTCATATGGTTTCTATCACAACTATCCAACTCTGTCATTATAGAATGAAAGCAACCATAGGTAATACATAAATGAATGAGAGTGGTTGTGTTCCAGGAAAACTGAATTTATAAAATAGATAGCTCTAATGCAGATATTTTGGATAATCACTCGCTACAGACTCTGTCCAAGTAACTTAGGGGTGCATAAGGCTCTGCCCCATGGTTTACAGTCTCTTCACAACATTGGAGATGAGAATGGGCATGCTATCTGCACCTGCATATTCCTACAGCTTCTGGGTCTGATGGACAATTGCTGGGGAGACAACCATGCAGAAAACATGTCTAGTGAAAAATAATTTTAAAAAGAAAAAAGAAAAAATAACTGATGGCAAGATGGATTTGGCAATCATAGTATATGCCATAGAGTAGGCTGTATATGACTTTACTGCCGAAAGCATCTATGAAACAAATGAAGTCTAAATTACTCATGTATGCCAGTGACTGAAATGAATAATAACTTATTGCTAAATTAGTTGATTAATGTAAAAAATAGTCATCTTGAAAAAAGATAGGTGGAGGCAGCTAAATTTTCATTTTCAGTTGTTTTACCTTGAGCCAACTAGCCACTTTCTTGCTGTTTGAACACTTAGATTAACGATTCTCACCTGTGACAATATATTCATCTGAGAGATCTGAAAAATTACTAATGCCTGACATCCCCAGAGATTTAGTTGATTTGGCAAACAGCCTAGGCATCAGGTTTTTAAGAGCTTCCTTGCAGATTCTAATGAGCAACCAGTGTTTGTTGTTATGAGACCTGAGACTGATATAGGTTTGGTGTGGAATTTCAAGGTGTAACAGTTAATGGTAGAAATATGGTGTAGCGGCCGGGCGCAGTGGCTCAGGACTGTAATCCCATCACTTTGAGAGATTGAGGTGAGAGGATTGCCTGAGCCCATGGGTTCATGACCAGCCTGGGCAACTTGGAGAGACCTCATCTCTACAATAAGTCAAAAAATTAGCCGGGCATGGTAGTGCACTCTTGTAGTTCCAGCTACTTGGAAGGTTGAGGCAGAAGGATCCCCTGAGCCCAACGGGTCGATGCTGGGGTGACTGTGAGCGTGCCGCTGCACTCCAGCCTGGGCAATGGAGTGAGACTCCAACTCAAAAAAAAAAAAAAAAATGGTGTAGCAGGCCATTTTAAACTCACTCAATTTGGGGGGCAGCTTTTTCAACCCCTCATTAATTTTGTCATTAGTTGAATTACATTTGAGGTTACTTGTTTGTTTTTATTTTTCTTTGTAAAGCTTCAGCATGTTTATTGTGTTTTCCATATAGGTTTGAGGTTAACTTTATTTGCTTCAGTGTGGCTAGTGTTTCTTGCCTGTATTTTTATATTTAACACAGAGTATCCTCTTTTATTGATGTTTATTGGATATGGCCTCTGTTTCTGTTTTTTTAGTAGTTCAGTATAAGTGTTGCTATTAAATGCCATGATTAATTGAAGAAGAACTAATGAAAGTCTCTTTCAACTTAATAAAAAGGATTCTGAGGGTGATACTCCTCTTCATGATGCGATAAGTAAGAAACGTGATGATATCCTGGCAGTTCTTTTGGAAGCTGGAGCAGATGTTACCATCACTAACAACAATGGATTTAATGCTCTACATCATGCTGCACTGAGGGGAAATCCCAGGTAAAGATATCACCTTTTACTATTGTAGGTGCAGTTTAGAAGTATTTTCCTATTGCTGGTTCTCTTTTTTCTGATACTAATGAAGAAATAATTTTGGCTTATTTTACTATTTAAAATTATTTTAAATGTTTGTAGAAATTATGCCTTTGTTCAGTAGATTAGTTTTATAAGATGATTATTTTGGTTGCTAAACTAATACAAACATTATGAAGTGATTATTTAAATATACATTAAATGTGGATGTAAAATATCAGGAATACTGGTTTATATCTAAAGATTTAATTAAGTTGCTTTCCATTTTGAGCTTTATGTTTCTTCAAAATAATTTTCAGGGTGCCTTCTAATCTTGAGTTACCATTTACATGATAATTATTGTTTTAAACTTGCAGCTAAATAAATATTGTTACCTGATTTCCTTACTAATAATGCAGCTAGTTATGAAAACTTATAGTATCTCCTCATCCATTGCTACAGTAATTGATATTCTACTGAAAAAAGGGCTTAATGGTTAGGGTTTGAGAAAAACTGCTTTTGGAGAGTCACATTATTTGTAGTAGATCTGCATGGTTCCCAGAAAGGGAAAATGCTTAGGTTTGCTTAACTTAGATTCCCACAGGCTAATTTTTTGGAACGGTTTTACCTTAAGAAGCATTTTGGGAAGTTCTGTATTAGATGTCTTTTGTTTATGGTTGAATCAGATCTCTATGTCTTGACTGAGGAAATGTTCATTTTGATCTTTATTTTGATAATTTTATCTATTCTGAACTCTTATTATTTGATTCCTTATTGTATTTTTATATCTTGTTTCCTTTTTGTGTGTATGTGTCATGTTTTAGCTTCTTGGGATCACCACTAGAGGGTGATCACAGAAAACAAAAGAATTTTATTGCTATTGCTTATTGGTACCCATAACAGTGGATATATAATGTAGAGTGAAGTGAATGACCATGTTTTAGATCATGTCTTTTTTTCCCTCGATTTGTAAATATTTGAACACTTCAGACTTTGGCAATGTAAAGGAGACAGAATGGTGTTATATATTCCTAGTCTTTCAAGTAGAAGGTGGTAATGACAGAACTTACCACATGCCAGGCCTCTGCTAAGTGCTTTACATGCATTATTTCACATAATCCTTTCAGCAGCTTTTGAGGCAAGTGTTAATATATCCCCATTTTATAGAGACTTACAGAGATGGATTTAATTATCCAAGAACATGCAGCTGTTTATTGAAGCAACTGGAACTGGAGCAAGGTCTATGTGACTTTAGAATCATAATTCTTAAATCACTTTATATTACTTTTTCTGTATTATGGTCTGTACATAAGGCAAAACCAAAACACGTGGGAAGTGAATGATTTAACATCATTTCCCTTTGCTACCTCATTGCTTCGGGTTATCTTTGCTGTCTCTAATTCGCAACTTCCAACTAGTTCTAAGATTCTATTTATTCTACCTATCTTTCCAACCCATTTCATTCTTTCTATTCTTATTGTTGCTGACCTAAATAAGTACTCACTGTGTTTACCTAGACTATTACAGTGTTTTCCTAATTGCTATCTCTGATTTCAGTCTTATCTCTGATTTAACTTTCATACCATTACCAAAATATGCTGTCTGCTTTCTTCTCTCACTTTTTTGGAGCATTTTCTTTCTTCGGGATGCCCTATCCCCTTTCTTCATCTTAACCATCTTTCTCCACAGCCTCCTATATAGCTCATCCTTGGAGTTTATTTTGTTTTCTGTGGACCTCTTGTTCTGTGATCTTATTTTATTGCACTTACTATACTCTGCTTAGAGCAGTCTGTTACTCTGTGCATCTCTTTGTTTCTTTCCGTTAAAATTGTGGGTGCTCATATTCATCTATACACCCTCCACAATGCTGATTGTTGTCGGTGCTCAATAAATGTTAGTTTGACAGTGAAGACAGTGTTAGATATCACAAGATACTATATGATTACAGAATGAATTCTATGGATAAACTGCTTGGTGTTCAAACAGTAATTACTTCAGATTAGAATGGTCAAGAAGATTTTATTGAGGGAATTTAGGTTCTAATATGACATCATAAAGTTTAAAATAAACTGGAAATTGAAGTGATTAGGAAACATATCTTTTATATTTTGAGTTGTTTCATTTGTCACCATAGTATATTCAATGATTCTAAGTGTATACAAAGAAGAGAAAATTTACTTCTGTTTCTTCAATTCTTGTATAAATTTTGAGAATTCCCCTGAAAATTTATAACCCAACCAGATAATTGGTGTCAGTTGACATTTTAAAAAAATGAAAAACTTTTATTCTTCAACCAAGTGGTGTTTCAGTTAAAGCTATTTGGTTTCTTTATTCCTACTTCCTTAAAATTTAGGTAACTGCCTGGAGAGTGCTAGATGGAGTGTGATTTTAAAGGGGCACTAAAGAGTATCAGAAGATGATACGTTTATTTATCAGTTGTGATTGCAAGTTGGGATGGTTTCAGTTCTTTTTTTCATATAATTTCTTTTTCTTAAAGTTGATTTTTTTTTCCTGTACTGATCAGTGATGTCAAAAGACAGAAAGAACCATTTTTAGTGTACTTGCAATTAAAAGCAACAACAAACTTCTTTGTCCTTCACACTTATTTTAGAAAACCAGCTGGGTACAGTGGCTTATGTCCATAATCCTGCAATTTGGGAGATTGAGGCGAGGTGGATCAGTTGAGACCAGGAGTTCAAGACCTGCCTGGACAACATAGTGAGACTTCTCTCTAAAAAATTTTTTAAATTAACTGCATATGGTGGCATGCACCTGTATTCCTGGCTACTTGAGAGGTTGAGGTGGGAGGATCACTTCAGCCCAGGAGTTCAAGGCTACAGTGAGCTATGATTGTGCCACTACACTCCAGCCTGGGGGACAGAGTGAGACCTGTTCTCTTTAAAAAAAAAGAAAACCAGATATAGCACATTTTTATTTCTAGAACCCAATGAACTTAGGATTTTTGGATAACATATCAAGTACGATTAACAAATTTGCTAACATTTTTCCCTTTCTTATGCATGTTTTACAGCTTATGTAATTTAATTAATCTGTTACCTTGAATTATGACATTTCAGTTTGTTCTTTTGTGACCTTTGTTTTTATGCTGTAGTTACTTCTTTAGTATACTTAACTGTTGACCTTCATGTATAGTCCATTTTAATTGCAATTGATTGCACTTTAGTTAGTATAATTTGTAGCTACTTTTGAATTTTTTTAGAATATATATTTTTTCTAGAGTTAATTATTTGCATCATTGTGAGTATAATCTAATACCACCACAAATATAGTTATTTATTGTGGTTAAAAAATATGGAAAAGTTTCTAAAATTTCCATGTGTACATGTGGAATTTAAGTATTTTTCTACCCCTTGGTTTTCCTGTTAGTTAGCAGTTATACTTTTTTCAGCAATGAATCACACAGTAGAGTTAATACTTACTGGATGTGCTTTTCTAAAAGAAAAAGCAATTTTTCTGGTTTTCAAACATGTTTTTGAAGTTTATATTTCAAAGGTCCAGATCAATATAGATTCTAGGTTTTAAAGCTGATCTTGATGTTTCCTCTACTATGCCAGTAACTGAAATAGAGACATTAAGAGAAAAAAGAGTTTTAAAGCCATTTGTTGTCTTTTAGAATTGTGGAAGAGAATATAAGTTTTTAGTATGAGACACTGTTTTGGTCTTGCTTTATAAAGTTTGAAGCATTTTGAATAATGCTTCACCATGGTTTTATATAGTTTTTTTGTTTTTAAGAAACCTTAACTAAGAACAATGCTGTTTCTGTATTCCAATGTTTGGGATTTATAGTAATATTTCACCTAGAGTTTACCTATATTATCTTTTTAAATATAGATATAATTTTGGACTTAAATCAAGAGGAGAAATTACTTCTGTTGATAAAAATGAAAACTAAATTGCTGTGGATTAGCATTAATCAGCATGTTACCTTGGGTAATTTCTGCGAGGATACTGCATTTTTAACTGTCTTTCAGTTTTTAGAACTCCCTCACAGGCTTGAAAATAAGTTAGTCAGCAGTATTCTCTGCAGAGCTGATGAAAACAATTGATAAGCATTTTGGATGTACTTTGGAGGTATAAAGCTTCTTTAGTGTTACTTTTAAATTTTTCTCTTATAGAAATTGAATGTGAAAAGTAACAGTAAAATATGAGTGAGCCACTTGATTTGTATTGTGTTTTGGTGTTTAATGTTTATCTTATAACTCTGAACATGCTGAGTGGCATATCCAAAAAATAGCTAAAAGTCTACTAAATGATACCTATAGTGTAAATACAAATATATGCTCATGAACCGGGCTCCGTGGCTCAGCCTGTAATCCCGCGCCTTTGGGAGGCTGAGGTGAGAGGATTGCCTGAGCCCGCGGGTTCGAGACCCGCCTGGGCAGCGAGACCTCATCTCTACAATAAATCAAAAAATCAGCCGGGCATGGTAGCGCATGCCTGTAATTCCAGCTACTCAGAAGCGGCCGGGAGCGGCCACACTCCAGTCTGGGCGACAGAGTGAGACTTTAACTCAAAAAAAAAAAAAAATATATATATATATATATATATGCTCATGCATCTACGCTCAAATGCTCTGTGCCTTGTAATACATAAATATACTTAATGTGACTGACTGAGATGTAATTAATATGAGCAAGATGGCCTATTAACCTGAATGAAGCGATAAGATTTTATATATATATATAATATTTAAAAAAAAAAAATATATATATATTTCCTTTTTTCTACATTCTTTTAGGGGTGATTTTCTATATGAATGAATGGTCAGGAGTTGTGGGTATGTGGACATCCGGGGTTTTGATTACTACTTGCCTTCAGTAACCTTCATGCTGAAATGTTTGTGTCTGCTAATTAAAGAGCATTAAATTATCTATAGTTTCATTGCAGTCATTAAGCACATTAGGTGGATGTTGGATTACTTGTCATTTTCTCCTTCCTTCAGTTTTTCTCTGAGAGAGACAGACTTGTATTTTTTCATAAAGGACAAAGAAGACAGTGAGGAGAGTCACAGCATGTTATTATTAGATGAGTTCTTCATTTTATAACTGAGGAAACAAGTATGGAGAGGTGAAAAATTTAATGAGTAAAAAGTGGTGATGCTTAACGTTTTCTCTCTTTTTGAGAATTTAAAACCTTTGGTTGAGGGTCAGAACTAGGTACTTGTTGAAAGTTTCTCCACAAGACATTGTATAGTATCATCTTTTTTACCTTACCTACTAACATAGGTAAATAAAGGTAAAATTAGAGGCTAATTCTATAGAAGATAGCGACTAAACATTTCTAGAGTGTTATTTTATATAATATAGTTTTCTCTAAAATATCTCAGTGGACGTGGTGGCTCATGCCTGTAATTCCAGCACTTTAGGAAGCTGATGCTGGAGGATTGTTCGAGCCCAGGAGTTCGAGATCAGTCTGAGCAATATAGTTAGACCTCATCTCTACAAAGATAAAACATTAGCTGGGTGTGGTAGTGTGTGCCTGTTGGCCTAGCTACTCAGGAGGCTGAGGCGGAGGAACGCTAGAGCCCAGGAGGTGTAGGCTGCAGTAAACCATGATCGTTCCACTGCACTCCAGCCTGGGTGACAGAGTAAGACCCCGACTCAAAAAAAAAAAAAAGATCCATATGTCCTTGTGAACCACTCTCTAGTATTCCATTTCAGGTAGGTTAGGAGACCTTCCCAGATATTTTCTTCCTTTGAAGAAAGTTTTGTTTTGTTATTATGAAGCATAGTCTACATTTTATTACCATTTCTTTTCTGAAGGATAAGAAATTTATTACCAAGAGACTGTATTATGTAAAATTTTTATTTGAAATCTTTAAGTCATCCACAGTTTTTCACAAAGCATAGTAAATTCATGTTAATAAACATCTTTAACCACTCTAGCTCTTCCAAGTAGAATTAACAGTAACAAGTTACTTGCTTTTAACCACAGTCTGAGTAATTTAAATGAGTTGAAATCAGTTGACAGGTCATACTCCTAAATGAAAACGTTGACTGTCCTGTAGTCATCAATGCATAGCTACAGCTGGTTGAAGGGGACCAAATCCATTGAAGAGGTGATTTGGTTCCATTTTACCAGCTCTAGCAAAGCATTGTAGTGCTGCTAATTTGGGATCCAAACCAGTTAAATGATTTTCATTTGTAAATTAAAGTCATGGACCTTTAACAAGTGTTAGAGATTCTCGGATCAGTGCTTTAGTCACTGAATGTAACGTTTTCTATTTTGATGTTAATTTTCTTACTGTTTCCTGCTCTTACAATTCACAAGTCTTTTCCTCTTAACACATTAATACATTAAGGAATTATCAACGCACATCTTTTTTTCAGCATCTTTGCTTAATTCTTTAAAAAAAAACAAACTTGTTCACAACTGAAGTCTTTGCATAATTCTTAAATGTAGACAATAAGCTGTTTCAAAATCAGTAGTATTTAAGGAATTAACAAACCTTGTTCTGTTTCAGAGTAATGTTTTCTATTTATCTCTGGCAGTAAACCAGATCACTTAAGTTGTTAAGCTAATAGGTTGGGAAAGAATAGTGTTAGTCACAACTTTCTACCATCACTGCTTCTTCTAGTATTATAGTTGAGGACTAATAGCAAGTTGTTGGCAGGGGGTGGAGGGTTGTGAGTGGCCTTAAGCAAGTACCTCTGCCCTTTGGTTTATAAATAGATCACACGTGTATTCAGTGTATTGCTTGGACTTGTGTTGAAAGGATGCCTCTACCACGCATGCCAACTTTTCTTTGTTTTTGCTTATGTAGTGTTACTAATCATAGGTTAGTCATTTAACCCTTTTAAAGGCCTGTTTCCTTGACTCAGTTCTCTTTCATTTTGGGTACAGATTGCCTAGTTACTTTTTTGTTATTGATGTGATAATACATTGATTTGTGGTGTTTAGCTACAATCCATTAATTTGAGTATTAAAATCTACCATGCTGGTAATACTTTAAAAATCAGCAGAGTGAATTTTTTGTGTGTGTGTGCAAGGTATGGCATTTTATTCCAATTTTAACCCGAGGTTCAAAAAGGTTTACAGAACCTTAAAGGTCATGTAGCTGCTGGGAGGCAGAACTTTTATTTGCATTCAGGTCATCTGATCTGCAGCAGAGTAAATTTTTGTTATAATGAGGTTTCATTGTTGATTTCAAAATCAGGGGAGGGATGTCTTCTGAAAAATCCTTGCATAAAACAAAGATTTGATGAATTATAGTTTGCCTATAGGGTAAGTGCTGTTAGTGTAATATAAAGTAAAGAAATATTCTGTATAGTTACTATTTTATGCTAAACAGGGAGAAAGCACTAATTCAGGCAATATGGAAACACTTCTTATATTATGTATATTCTGTATCCTTTGGTTGATAAGCATAATACTATTGGTGAAATTAATGTGACTACAATTATTTTCATCATTTATTCTAATAGAAGTGAAACAGGTGTTAAACTGCCTGAACTTAAGTGCTGAAGATAGCAATAACACTGGCTTCTATTTTTACTAGTTATATGGGAGCTGTTTAGCAGATCCAGTTGCTCAAGTGTGCTTTTGGATGGCAGTTCAGTTTCATATACTGGCCATATCGGGGCAAGAAGAGGCCATGAGAAAAAAATAGTACAGCATTTGATAATGTCAGCATCTGTTATCCCTGTCAGGGAGACAGTTGAAATGTTTGAGTTACACCAGTGTCAGCAGATGCCCAGAGTTTAACATGTACTCAGTTAAAAATGAACAGCTGATCTAAGTGATGGATGTGACATTTTAGAGTGATTGGAAATACTCTCAGATATGTTAAGTTAAACTTGTAAGCACCAGAATCAGTATGTAATTTTACTTTTTTAAATGAATAGCCTGTCATTTTATAGTCTAAGGATTATATACTCTTAATATTATACCAAAGAAATTCTTAGTTGCTGGGATGCTTAAGAATTATTAAACAACTTTTTTATACCTATAAAACAACCAATATCATTGTTCATTATAAAACACAAATACAGTAATATTCTTTGAGTAGTTTTATAAAATAACCTACTTTTGAGACATATATTTTTAGTTTTTGGTACTTAGAATATATAGAGGTTAATTGACCAAATGGATCATGAAGCATTGTTTTGTAAATGATTAGAAGAGCTATGCTTCAGTGAGTTAAGCTTTGAATATTTCTTTTTTGAATATGTAGAATTTTAAAATTATGGAATTTTTATAATTTCCAGTAAACATCCAATAACATATATGCTACCATATGTAATAGACTTATTCTCTCATTCTTTATAATCTGTTGATAAAATATCATCTTTCTATTAAGTTGTTTTATTAAACAGAAAATTAACTGTAGTTAAGCTTATAGTTGTTTCTACTCAATTTCTGATGTAAAAAATTTTAAATATGCCTTTTTATGTGTGTAAATGTTTCAGTTGAAATAATACTGTTATTGAGACTTGATTACAGTATATGAATACTAGCATTTCTTTTTTTCTAACTTTGTCGTATATTGGCTTAAAACAGGTACTGCTTATAAATGTTGCTAAGTGCTTTATTATTTGTAATTTTTTATAAGTACTGTACAAATTGCGTAAAGCACAAAAAGTATTTTGATATCTAACATGCTAAGACAGTGAATCTATCATGTTTATAAAATCTGAGTTGTAATTGCAAAGTACTAATAAAAATGATTATTCTGTCTGTATATATTGACTTGACTGTAGTGTTTTCATTTTACATGCTGCCTTTGGAAAAAGCAAATTCAAAGATAATACAGATAATAAATTAATTTCTTTTAAATATTTGACAGTCTGTTACCAATATACCCAATATGTTGACTTGCAGCTGTAGCCCAGAATTTTGTCATTTTTCATACTTAACTCTTATGTCTTAATTTTAAGTACTAATTTTATGTTTAAAGTGGAAATTGGGATAAGACATGATAACCTTGAGAGGGACAAGGGTCTTTTTTTTTTCACAGTAGCCTCTTGCTTAATAGATGGTACTTGAATTATGACTATGTCAGTAGCTGTCAAAAAAAGAAAACCTAAAACAACAAAGCTTTTGGGTCAAAAATTTCTCTAATATGAATAGATTATGAATTTATCAAAATGTGAAGAAATATCTGTTACTATGTGAATTAAGCCAGCTTTTGTTGTATCTTATTTTTCTTAGCAATCAGCCCTACTGATGTGATACACTTAAATTAAAATCACATTATAGAGATAGAAAATAGATCATGTGTATTTCTCATTCTTTTGTGCTTGTAGTACTATTTTCCCTTTTGTAGTCAAATTTTAATCATGTGAATGCTTTAAAAATGTAAGATGTGTGTTTTAAGTTGAAATGATTTGAAAGAAATTTTGTGTTAATTTGAAATCTACTTCAGTGGAACTTCTGTTCTTTCACAGAATAAAAGCCTTAGGGATATTTAATTTCCATCCATTCCTAGTAGGTACATTTTTTTGATGTTAGTATTGCCAAAGGTCATCTGTTACTAGGTTAATTTACCATATAAAGGTTATCACGAAGAAAGAAGCAAGAGCTTCTTTTAGGTGTAGTTTAGTTCCTTCTTGGTGGTTTATTGCCTACCAAAAATACATACTTCTTTACATTCCATAGCATTGTATGTTCATATGGGTACATAAAGAAGTATGTACTCTGAGTAGGTATTACTAATGTCAGCTGTAAAAAACATGAAATATTTTATTTTCCCATTTGTTAGTAAAACATCCAGCTGATCAGCGTAGAGCAATGGCAGACCATTTATAGAGACTAATTTATCAAGGACTGAACTTTATAACAAGTTTACCTGAAGCATGGCATTAATGCCATTTATGGTTCCTTTTTCTTGGTGGACATAGACATTTCTAAACACTTTACCAGTTATTTGTTGAACTTTGTCGTGGTTTGGTTCTTTTTGCAAGACAGTCATAGAATCAGTGGAGTGTTACAGAGTGTATTTCAGAATTTGGTAAGGTGAGTCTAGTGTTTCTTTATAGTCATCACAGCAAATTTCTTCTTGTTTTTGTAGCTTGCTTCTAGATCCTACAATTAGATAGTAATTATTAATTCAGTTCATATTCTTTTTACAAACTAGATATCTTATTCAAAACTTCAGTAATTAACCAATTAATATTTCTGGCAGTGACTCTAAAGTTGAAACAAGGAGAAAAATCAGGATGTCTATGAGTGCACGGAATTTTTAAAGACGGTAAATTTTTGTCAGTTTTTTTGTAAGGTCACAGATGAGAACTTATGACCATTTGAGAATTTATTTGTTGTTCATCTGTTTTTATTAGTTCCTTACCTGAATTTTGCCCTTTCGTGCTTTGTTTGGGTTGAGTAAAAATTCAAATAGATGTAGAAATACCTGATTTTGGTGAGGTTAGTTGTTTCGATTCTTTAATTCTTTTTAGTATAAAGGATAACTACCAGAACAATCAACTTTTTAAAAGTATCATTTAAAAGACCGAAAGATTTTAGCTATGAGCACCTGGGTTTTAGCTCAATCATTTAGCGTGAAAAGAAAGTATAGTTGTTGAGTAGCCTTGAATTATTATGGTATTAAAAAGTTAAATGAAAACCTCAAGAAATTTTCAGATTTGACAAAGGAGAAAAGAAATGTAGGGCTAGTAGAATTCCTGCAGCCTGTGATAAAAGCCGGTGCAGCTCATAGAGAGCAAATCAGGATGTAGCGATAGGTTGCCAGTGCTAAGGCAGCTTTAGCCGTGCAGTGTTAGAGTCACACCATGCACATTCTGATTTACTTCTGTAGCCAGTGAATAGCATTACAAATTATTTTGTGAGCTACCAAGTTTCTTGGTTGACTAAACCTTGAAATAGACAGTTAATGGTTTTTAAAAGATAGCATACTTTGGAAGCAGGATGTGATTTGTTAAGGATGCAAAAATCATCATTTAATCTGAAACAATAAAGACTAAATCTTTAGTAATGTAAATGACAGTAATGTATTTGTTCATTTTTTAGATCAAGAGTTATCTGCCATGACATTTAAACAACATTCCTTTTTTACACCACATAAGCTCTCAACTTGAATTGTGAAATTAGGTTATGCCTAGATAGACTTGAATTTTAATAATAACATATATTGCGTCAATAACAGGTAAGCATGCAGAGAGTCATAAGAATTTTTAAAAGTACAGGCCTTGTGGTGCTCTGTTACCTGTGAGCTTAGTGTCATGCAGCATCTGCAGCAGGAAGAAAGGTAATGACCTAGAGAGTCACATCAGCAGCAGCCATCTCATCTTGATTGTTCGTTCCCTCTATTTGCTGATTCAGCACTTCTTTTCATGAGCCGGGTAAAGGAAGGGGGATGTATCAGTGAACACAGAATCTCACCTTTTAAGATAAATTTGGAAAACAGACGAGCAAACAAAGAACAAATAAGCTTTTCTCCCTCCCTCCCTTTTCCCTTAAAATAAAACTCTACCATAAAATTGAATCAATGTTGGCCCTTTGATTTGGAATGTCACATACCGGTATTGTACAGATATGTGGTGAAAGTTTAGCAACTGATTTCGGTTGCTACAACAATCAAGAAAATGAACCTAGTTTGTTAAATAAAATGCTTCAGAAGAGGGGAAAAGTTGCAGAGGAAGTTAATTGTATAATCTATAAAAGACAAAAAAAAAAATCCAAACACACCTTACTGTAAACATTCACCCTTTCTTTGCCCACCAGAATACATTGGGTTCTTCTGACTTCTCAGGAAATATTCTGCATCTTTCTTGTTTGAGTTTCTTTTGGTTTTTAGTTTCCAGGAATAAATGGTAGATCTGTAGTGAAGCTACCTTGTCATATCCAGAGGTCAAGTCTGCAAGCGAGGTCAGGGCTTCCACATGGTCACTACAGAAGCAACTTATATTCTTCCTTCAGTGACAGAGGCTAAACTGTTACAGCTTTATAGGCAGCTAAGCATTTGAAACATGCCCTCCCAGGCAAACAGGCTCTCTTGTGCCTCTCTCTTCCCTGACCATATTTAGTCAACCATAGCAAAAAATAGTCTCTTAGCTGTCGATTGTCGATCCAAAAGCTGAGGAAGCCTCAATCTTGCTTTCTGCCTATTGATTATTCCTCCTGCGGTTCAAACACGGCCTTGCCATTTGTCCTGCCCTTTTTTTTTTGTTAAGCACTGCCAAATAAAGCGGTCTCTCATGTTTCCACTTACATTTCCCAGATTTTCACTGAGCTTGCGCTGAGACTAGGAAAGCCTGATGCACTGTCACTATACTTAGAATCACTGCAGAGAAAAAAGGAGAGAGGAAAAAAATTACCCTGGCTAGTAACAAGGCAATCTTTAGACAGATATGGAACAAGTCAAGTCACTTTGCTGCCAAAATACATTTTATAGCCTGATTTTTTTGTTGGTAAAAAATGTTATGGATGGTGATATGTTACATAGCTAAAGGCCTAAAGGGACTTTATAGGGTTATTTTAGATCTAGTTGTTGCTATAAGTGCTTTTTAAATGTATTGAGTAGTGTTTGAATGAAAAATATATAGAAACTATAAGTAGAACCTATTATTGATGATGGAGAGAGATCACAAGAAAGAAGTGTATAAATGAAATCTTGGAAGTGCTACTTAAAACTTTTAATTCAATGTCAATTTTAGTTAATTTTTTTATTTCTTAGGTAGAAAACAAGGTCCAGAATGCCTTTGAGTAATTAACTGCTCTTGTATTGAAACTAAATATACAGGTAGAAGTATTCAAATGTATTTTATTATGTTCAAATGTGTAGTGTTTTTTTCACCTCCCTTCTCATGACTCTCTAGTTTTCTGAAATACTCTTAGGTATGATCACTGTATACTTTACCACATACTGAGATAGTCATTAACCTGTCTATAACTTTGCTACATAGGGCATGTCTAGAGGAAGAAGAATTTTGTTCTACCTTTTAACAGCATATTAATAATACATTTTGATATTGAAATTTATTTTTTAACAAAGAAGAAATAGTAAAACATCAAATTCAACAAACCTGTGGAAATATAATTTAAAATCTCACAAACCTAAAAATGCTCAAGATTGACCGGGCTCCATGGCTCAGCCGGTAATCCCAGCACTTTGGGAGACTGAGGCGAGTGGGTTGCCTGAGCCCGTAGGTTCGAGACCCACCCGGACAACTTGGCAAGACCTTGTCTCTACAATAAATCAAAAACTAGCTGGGTGTAGTAGCGTGCCCCTGTAGTTTCGGCTACTTGGAAGGCTGAGGCGGAAGGATCGCCGGAGCACAGCATGTTGAGGCTGTGGTGGCCAGGAGCGTGCTACTGCACTCTAGTCTGGGCAACAGAGTGAGATTCCAACTCAAAAAAATAAAAATTGCCCAAGATAAACCAACTGTATCTTATTCTTAATTCAGATATATCCTCTTAAGTACTGATTTAGTTAAGAATCAAGAAAAGCCTTTATCAGTTCTTTAAGATCCTTCTCCTACAAGGGAAGTTTGTCTTTGACATTCTTTTTGTTTTTAGCATGTAGTACCCCCAGTTTAATTATTTTGAATGACTGTTTTAAAACAGTGACACAAGGAATGCTTCTGTAGCTATTTGGTAATTTTAAAGAGCCACCTTTCCTAGATATTGAAATGATTCTATATCTATTGTGAGATGACATATCTCAGAATGTAAAATAGTAAATTTTCAGTTTTTAAAATTGCTTCATTTTTGTTAACCATTTTGTAGCAGTGAAAGTATTAATTAATTAATTAACTAATTATATATTTTGAGTTGGAGTCTCACTCCATTGCCTAGGCTGGAGTGCAGTGGCACACTCACGGCCTCCAGCGTTGACCTGCTTTGCTCTAGCAGTCCTTCTTCCTCAGCCTTCCGAGAAGCCGGAACTGCAGGCACGCGCTACCACACCCAGCTGATTTTTGCTTTAGTGTAGAGACGGGGGTCTTGCTAAGTTGCCCAGGCTGGTCTCGAACCCGCAGCCTCAGGCAATTCACTCGCCTCGGCCTTCCAAAGTGCTGGGATTACAGGCTGAGCCACCGAGCCCTGTCTATTTATTTATTTATATAGTAAGCACCTGTATAACATAACTTATTATATGCCAGGCACTCTCTTAAGCCCTTTATAAATATTGATTCATTGAGTTTTCATAACAACCTTATGAGGTAGGATTTGTGATTCTTCTCATGTTTTACAGATGAGGAAACTGAGGCGTAGAAGTTAAGTAATCTGCTCAAGTCACTAGCCATTCTGGCTAGAGTCAGAATTTGAACTCAGATAATTTAGCTTCAGAATAGGCACCCTTTCCCACTATACCACCCTGCTGCTCTGGATTGTGATAATGAAATGAGTTAAAGAATTACTACTCTTAGGGACTCAACTACATACCAAAAATAAAATAAGTTGCTAATGTCCTTGCCTTAGTGTATTCAGAAAGATGCTTGTTCATTTGATTTTTTGTTTCTTTATTCCTTCCATCCAATAAAACTGAGCTTCTTATACTACATACGTAAAGCATACCTTTTTGAACAAAGTGTGTTCAAATTACATAGTAACCTGCTTTTAGCATGCCCAAGATAACTTCTACTTTCTATTGATCAACTTTCTTAATAAGTTCCTATGTGAATTCTGGACTAACCCTCTTCACCTGTTATTTGAGGTATTATTCATTAATTTAGCAAGCATTTATTGAACATCTAATATGTGCTACAGTGCTATTCTAATGTTGTTTTACTTTAAGTAATACTAATATGTAAAGCCTCCACAATTTAGCTACTAGGGTTTGTTTGGGAAAATGTTGCCTGCCTCTGAAAAAAAAGTTGCAAAGCATGGCAGGTCCTAAAAACTGACCTGGTGCCATTTCAATACTACATACCAACGTAGACAGCTGCTTGTCCTCCCTACTTCTTAGAACTCATTTGTTCATCATTCAGCAAACGTTTGAGTACTATCATGTGCCAGGGATTATGCTAGGCACCATTATTAGTTGTTCCGGAACTTAATGCTTCTTTGGCAGTGTTCACAAATGCCTGCTTAACTGGTAGTAAGATCTTATCTTTAAAACATCCATGTCCTTAACATCTTGGAAAACAACCAGATAAAGACTTATTGAACATTAGGGAAATTATCTCCAGATCTGATATACTGTGCTCCACAGGTGAGATTTGTTGGCTTAATAAAATTATTGGTTTATTGCACTAGTAACACCCTTATTCCAGTAATTCTGCGGACTTCAGTACTTGCAGTTTAACAGTCGCCTTAATTAACTCAGGTGCTACAAGGACTAGCCTAAAGCTGAGCTTCATGGTTATATTGTGTTCCTAAAATGGCCTGCCCTGTGGAAAAAAGGAGACAGGTTGCTCTGAACTGTTGTTGACATGCAAGTTAGGGGACCAGAGACTGTTTTGCTTAACTTTCTCTTAGGTCACATTGCAGGCTGGTCCCAAGATGGCCTCTTTTCTTGAGGCCTTGTATTTATTTTTTTTAATTTTTTTGTGGGGGTTGGCAATTTCTCATTAAAATGAGAGGGTTATAGGTCTCCATTAAAATTAATCCAGCCCTAATCTCCAACTAATTCCAAATAATATACAAAGATACTTCACCCTTAAGAAGGTGGAGCATCTGTGTATAGTCACCATCTTCCAAAGAGCACAGTTTAAAAGTACATAAAAGATAATAACTATACAATGGAGAAACTGACAAACACTATTTTAGCTAGGTAATCAAGGTTAACAACTAGAATGTTAAGGTATGTTGATAGTATGTACTGTTGGTATGATGTGATGAAATGGCACCCTATCTCTGTGACTTTCCTTCCAAGAACCCATAACCCTAGTGTAATAATGAGAAAAACACCAAATTCCAACTGAGGAACATTCTACAAAATATCTGACTAGTACTCCACAGAACTGTCAGATTCATCAAAAACAGGGAAAAACCTGGGAAACTGCCATAGCCAAAGGGAGCCTAAGGACACATGACAACTAAATGTAATATATTCTGGAGCAGAAAAAGAACATGAAATAAAATGAAGGGAATCTCAAGAATGGACTTTAGTTTATGACAGTGTATCAATATTGGTTTATTAAGTTTCTTGTAACAAATGTACCATACTAATGTAAAATGTTAATAATAGGGATGTGGGTTATATGGGAACTCCCTGTACTATCTTAGCTATTTTCTGTAAATTTAAAAATGTTCTAAAAAGTTTATTCAAAAACAACAAAAATTGGCCGGGCTTGGTGGCTCAGCCTGTAATCCCACGCTTTGGGAGACCGAGGTGAGTGGACTGCCTGAGCCTGCGGGTTCGAGACCCACCTGGGCAACTTGGCGAGACCTCATCTCTACAATAAACCAAAAAAATTAGCCGGGCGTGGTAGTGCGCGCCTGTAGTTCCAGCTACTTGGAAGGCTGAGGCGGAAGGATCACCGGAGCCCAGCAGGTTGAGGCTGCAATGGCCGGGAGTGTGCCACTGCACTCCAGTCTGAGTGAAAGAGTGAGACTCCAACTCAAAAAATAAACAAACAAAAAAACCCAAAAATTAATCCATCCACCCATGGCTAATTAACAGTTGACCCTTGCATTAATTTTGATTTAGAACTATCTGCAGTGTTTCTCTTTATAAGTTAGTAAGTTGAGTTGATTTTGCAGTAATTGATTTCAACAAGATGCTAAGTTTAGTCTCATGTTCCTTTAAAAGTATATTAAGACAGGAAAGTATATTTTAGAATAATTTTTATCAAGACCAGTCTTACGGTTAGATTTGTGAGGGGGTGTTATAGAGGATAGATTTGGAAGGGTAGTGGTTGGAAGTGTCCAGAGGAAAGATAATGATGACCTAGCTGAAAAATGTTAGGGAGCAGGGGGAAGAATAATTTTAGTTTTAAAAGGGAGAATCAATAGAAAAAATTGAATGTGGGAGAAAGAAGGGAAGACAGAGTCTAGAATGGTTCCCAGGTCTCTGAGTAGGATGGCTGATGAAATGGTAATGAGAACAACCAAGTTCAAGAATATAGGGGCACTGGGGGAGAGGAGAGCCACCAGGAGGGATGTGTACCATGTTGACTATAAGTCTGTAGTCTTAGAGTTGCCATCATGCTATTATGCTAAGGAGTTCCA